CGACTATCACCAGCTAGTATTGTTGATATCTATTATTGCCACTAACGATTAGCATCATAAACCGATATCATCTCCATAATATTGATAAGTTTTAACCTTGTTGTTGAGTATAGTAATTTGTCAATGGACACATACTTTCTATAATCTCTATTGTGAAAACCAAGTCTCGTTGTTCGGTGTTAACTATCACTCTATAGATATTTGATTTATATAATCTTCCTCATAAAAAATCATATGTTTGTTTAATTATGCTCTTCTTCAACAATAAGGAAAGGAGAATTTATGTATCACTTAATACAATCGAATTGAACTTCAGATCCTAGAATGGATGATTATGTGATTTTTTTTCCTTTTCAGGTTTTTCATATAAATTTTTTTTATCTTACTACTATTGCCTGTGCATGCTAAATTTTTGGACAATGCTAAGATGTAAAACACTTATTTTACCGATTCAAATTTTCTAACGGGTAAAACTAATCTAGGCCTAGAATGGATGATTCAAAAGAATAATATGAAGTCAAAGTTTTGGGATCCACATCCCATATGAGAGATTATTGTAAATGTCCCTAATGTAGCTGGTCTAGTTTCAAGGCCATAGTTAGTGACCCAGATTAAATTATTTAAAATAAAATTGCATAAATATTTTTATTCAATAACAAAGCAAATTTTATTAAACATCAGCCTTCTAATAATCATGTTAGGAGAATAGATGTAGTAGATTCAACCTATATTTAAAAAGATAGAGATAGACCTAAAAAAAAATTAATATTTTAAAAGAGATTGAGATAGAACTAAAAAGATTTGATTAGAAAGTATTAAAAATAAATTTTATTAAATTTAAAAGAAAATTTAATTCTAAATAGGACATTATAGGAAAAAAAAATCATATCGCTGACTCTATAAAGTGTGATAAAAGTTTTTTGTTGTTATAAAAAAGTATAATTTACATTTATTAAACAATTAAAAATTTAAAAATTTATACTTGACCATTTTTACATGGTCCTTGAAGCAAAATTTGTTGCGTCGCTAAGTCCTTCAACATAAAACCGGAGGGATTAAAAGTAATAGATATATTGTTATCTCTTGTTAATTGAGAGATAGAAAGTAAGTTAAACTTGAGAGAGGGAGTATGAAATATTTGTGACAAATGCAGCTTACGTTTGGGGGTCGGTAGAATTCCAGACCCTGTATGAGCTATGGGCACAGAATTGCCGTCCCCAACAGTGACGTTGTCCGTTCCAGGGTAAGGATTTGCTATAGACATATTGTCCATAGAATTTGTAAGATGCGAAGATGCATCCGAGTCCAAGAACCATGTGGTGTCCTGTGTATCCGATTTACTACTAGAGCCGTATTGCCCGGTTTGCTGGGCGGAACATACTGAGCATTGAGACGGTGCCAGCATGTTTGAGCGGAATGGCCCTTTTTGTAGCAAATTTGGCAGTAGATTTGTGAGTTCTGACTGGTTCTTGGTGCAAACGAGGTATTGTTTTGATCGTTTTGTTGAGTTCTTGAGGACGACGAGGGAACGTAGGAATTCTTGCCTCTTGGGCGAAGGCCTTTTCCTCTGTTATTAAACAGAGCCATGGTGTTATCAGGATTGGAGGCAAACCGAGTAGCATCCGCCGTGAGGTTGATTTCTTCGCTCAGCAAGAGAGGGTATATTTGATCTAGAGTCAATGGTGAGCTTGTGGCACGGATCGTTGTTTTGAACAATTGATACATTGGCGGTAACCCATTTAGGATATGATGAATAACGTCTTCGGGGTCGACTGTAGACTTTGCCGCCGATATTTGATCGACGATAGCTTTGATCTCAGACAGGTATATCGTCATTGAGTTGTTTTTGAGCGATGCATTATGTAATGCATTTCTTAGAGAAGAATGTAAAACAAGAGAATTGTATTTCATTATCCTGCCTTTACAGTAAGTCTGCAGCTCTTTATATAGAGCACAGTGAAAACATAAGATGGATTAATTACAAGTAAACCTATGAATCTTCTAGAGCAGTAAACTAATATTAATAGTTTATATTCTTGGTTCTTATAATTTTGTCACTTTTAATGAGAAAATATTCTAAAAGTAAGTGCATTACAGAGTATAGACTACGATGATTTTGATCGGCACAATTATTTGCTCCCTGCTTCTCTCTTAAAAGCCAACCAAGCATTATGCGAGTATTTTATTAAGGTATATCTCAGGTTGTAGTATTAAATTATGTATAAAATAATATCATTTTTTTTTTTTTGGGAGAAAAATTGGGGCAAAGCCCATATATTGAATCAAGTAAAAATACAAATCACAAAACCAGTGAAAGTAAATACAAGTAAAACCCCTATACCCCCAAGAACAAAAAGGAAGTATTAAAAAAGATAGGACTCGGGAAAATAAGGTCTACACCAAAATACACCATATCCAAATCTGGGAGAAAGAAGAAAATCCTCCAACAGCCACAGGATCTCTAGCATCCTGAAGGAACACCGGTTGCCGCAAGGCAAAAGGACAGTAACCATCATAGTGTCCCAAATAAACCGCAAATTCCCTAGCAGCAAAAAGCATTCCCTGATTACCAGAAGACCCTCCAAGGGAATGTTGATGTAGACCTTGACTTAATATAAAATAGCTGTAAGAATGCGGAATGTCACCAATAGATTATTCGCAAACAGAATTGTTTATCTTATCTATGAAGTGCATGAAGTTCTATGCGAAGCTCACTCCTAATTGGTTAATTGTCTCAAACAAAACCTAAACGCACAAAGTTCTCCGTCGTAAATCCATACATTATGTTCCCCTTCATGACAACCAATGCACTATTATGAATTTTAAAGGCTTTAGCATCTCCTAATTAAGAAAGAACACTCGGCCTCATTAGAAGTACCCAAAGAGACAAGATTATTTCAAAGAATGCTAAACTCTTAATATTTAATAATGTTATCATCAAGAACACTCTACTTCAGTGCCAAAACTATCTATCTTGCACAACACTATAATTTATATAAAAAAATATGCCAATAGCACATTATTCTTAAGTAAAAAAATAATTCATTTTGAGGTTCATATAATATGAACAAATTGAAACCAAAATATAACAATTTTAATCTATCTTGCAGAACACTATAATTTATATAAAAAATATGCCAATAGCACATTATTCTTAAGTAAAAAAATAATTCATTTTGAGGTTCATATAATATGAACAAATTGAAACCAAAATATAACAATTTTAATTTATCTTCATTGTACTTGCTTTTAGAATGGTGTTCCTCCCTCTTCAAAACTCCACAGTTTTTTTTTTTTTTTTTTTTTTTTTTTTTTTTTTTTTTTTTTTTTTGGTGATGCAATAGCAGCAAGCCACGTCATTATACTCGTTATGATTACTACTAAGATGGTAGCTTCTAAAAAGAAGCTTCGGGAACCCTCTCACATATGTATTCAAGCATTGCAATGTTGGCGGGCATGGGAGTAGCACCTGTAAGGTGCCCGGCAAATCCATTTGCCGAGAAGTGTTGAAGGAGTTGGATGCGCCAAATCGCGTAGCTTTTGGAGGTGGGGGGTTTAGGTACAAGATTTTTTATTTTGAGACGAAGAATTTGAGAGATGCTGGTATGGAGAGGTTGGAGGTAGATTCGAATAGAGTAGAAGAAGAGGGAGGGAGGGAGGCGGCTGATTCTTGATCTCTCATGATTGGCTCTTTATATCATGAAAGGTGTGCAGCTGGATAAGACACAGGAGGAAGAAGAAGAGAAATGTATATTCTATATTGTTCAAGAGAAGAAACAAAAACAAGTATAAATAGAAGAATACTATGCAAAGGTGTAAATAAGATGGACGCAACATATCTGACGTGTAACGTTTGCTAACAATAACTTGCACGACACATATACGTCTTCTTATAACATAAAACAATGTCGCGATCTATCCTCGTGCATAATATGATCAACTTTAGCTTCATGTTATAATTAGAGGCTACGATCTTATCTTTGATCATATATCCAATGAGTCATGATTGAGCTTATGAATGATCTTAAGAACATACATCCAACATACGAGTGTTTCTAAAGTAAGACTTGTTATCTTGAAGGTACTTAAATTTGTCACTTCTTGCTCATAAGCTCCATGAGCATGTCTCTAAATAGCAACAAATGCATCATAGTTTTTTATCTGATTTTTTTTTTCATCTTAAATTTGAAGCTCTTTTTTTATATGTAACGTCTACTTCAATTCATCTTTACTCACAAATAGTTGCTAAACACATATAATTCACATATAGTAGTCTCGTGTTTAATGAATAATGAAATCTCATCTAATAAAAAATAAATATCATCCTCTATAAGCAGCACAGTTTGAGGAATTAATGGTGCTTCACCAAAATAGTACGTTACCTTCAATTTTAGACTGAATTATTTTATATCAAAATCTACCATTTTATATATAAGATAAATAAAACACATTAAAGAAAATATTTCTCTTTAGCTCAATGCTTTGATTTATTTTTTTATGCATATCCAACCAGCTTACATATCTTCTTTCCATTCTACTCCATACAATATAAGGATATTTATGTTTGATTTACCTATAAAAATAATTCATCACTATACAACTTTATTATTCTTCAAACATAGATAGAGAAACTAATCAAATCATATTTGAACATGCTCAAATATTGATCGTACAATTGTACCTTATTCACGAACAATTATTAGGTCAGGTGTCCTGACGTAACTCTACGTTCAGACACCAATAACATGTCGCCACGTGCTCTTACTCTTTACTGCGCGGCCCGACGACTTGACCTGGACCGGAGTATTGCTAGGTATTGCTCGGTATTACTTGGCAATAATGAAAAATATCGCTCTGGGTATTGTTCGGTATTGCTTAGTATTGGTCTTCACATAATGATATTTCACGTTATTGCAGAGCAAAATTGACCAATACCTAGCAATACCAAGTAATATCTAGCAATACGCGAACATAGCAATCCCGGTTAATGAACCTTAATCTTTGATAACATGAACTATATTCAATTGAACAAGAGTAAAACATAGTTGGCGAATACATTTTAACATATCAAAATACACACTTTGATAATTACCTAGCTTTGTATTACATCTCCAACAAAATAAGCTAATACGAACTACAAGATGAAAACTTACCTATGATCAAGTCACCAATTAATGAAAAAAATCTCCAGCTTCACCACATGCTGTCTCCTGTGCAAAGAAACTCAAATGAATGTACAATGACAATGACGATGAATGAAGAAAGCTGAAGCGGAAAAAGATGAATGTCTTCTCTCATAATATTTTAATATGAATAAAATTTTTATGCATGTTTCCCTAAAAAATAGAACGAGAAGCATAATTCTCTAATTTCAAATATTGTTGAAAAAATAAAATCAAATTTTTCGTTAAAAATGTATATTTGATTTACAGTTTTTTAAAACAAATCAAACTATATTTGAAAATACTCAACAAAACTTTTAAATACTTTTCTAATACTTCAATTTTTTTTTAAATAAAAAGCATACTAGCCACCACACACCAACTGTTCACCACAACCAACAACTGGAGAATTATTTTGTGCGGAGGCCGAACGCCGTCCGGACATCAACAAGAATGCGCCACGTCAACGATACCGAGCCGCGGTACCAGGTGAAGGACTGACGTGGCGAATTCTAGTTGATCTCCAGGCGGCATTTGATGTCCACACATAATCCACAACGGCTACTAACAGATCATACAATATTAAATAAAAATAAAAACTAATACTTATTTAAGCTACTAAACATATTTTTACTTTAATAAAAAAAATAAATAAAACAATTGAAAAAAAAAAAAGTAATCTTAAAAGGCCCTAAGCAAATATTTATTTTAACAAAATAAAGATATTCTCAAACGAACCTTTATAATTTTATGATATTTGTAGGAGTATAAGTTGATCTATATCTACAATCATCTATTTTGAAATGTGTACTTAACTTAACAAAGTTATTGAGTTAAAGGACAAACAGACAATACATGCAAACAAAATGAAGAAAATTTGCTTAAAAGGCAGCATATGTACAATATGTTTTATATGGTCAAATGAAAGTTGGTCGAATGAATGCACTTGTTGAAAAGCCAATATTTTTGTTTACCTTGACTGAACTTGCAGCAACTAAAATCTGTAGAGGAAAAATCAGCCACGCAGCAGCATTTTATAGTGGGGACAAAGGATTAAACTCTGCTAATTTCTGAAGTGGAAGTCCATGCTACCGCAAGCCCTGGCAAATCAGATAAATCTCCTTTGAGGAAGATCTTGTAGCCTTGGGCCTTAACCATGATACATTTCTGAATCTTTGCTTGCAAAATTTCGCAAATGCTGCAATCACATCATCAACCAAAAACAAGAAGGTTTATCTACAAAGCAATTTGATTGATGTGTAAGACCTTCCCTGACATTTACTTATTAATGACTAATAGTAGATGTTTTCTTCTATTTCCAAATAGGGGGAGATTATTGTGTCCGGACACCGAACGTGTCGAGAGACCAATAAAAATGTGCCACATCACTAGGAGCTCGGTACCGAGCTCGGTACAGCACTCAGTACCGAGCTCGGCACCGATAATGGTACCGGTACTAGTCGGTACGGATAACGGTACTGGCACCGGTCGGTACCGCTTGGTAGCTGTCCGGACACAATAATTTTTCCCAAAGAGGTAGATAAGTTCGGGAAAATTTCTTTGTTTTTTTTTCCTTTCTCCAAAGGAATGCAGTTCAGGAAACAGAATACCAAGAGTTCTTTGGGCAACATTTTCACAATTTTGTTTTTCTGCAATTGCCTAGTAATATTTTATATTTGGCTTTCTTATCAGTTTTTAGAAATTTCTATAACAAAAAAAAACTTTAATAACAAAATCTATTAGTATGTGACTACAAAAACTTTGATATTCAATTTCTTCAAATGAAAAAAATTTATAAAACTCACAACCACCTTCAAAATTCTATTTTCTCACAACAATTCTAAAACTGAATTCAAATACATCTGTAATTATTGGAAGGAATAATCTAAAGTGTGTTTGAATTGTTTTGACAAATTGTATGAGCAACAAAGAAAGCCCTTTGGACAAGGTTAATGGTGAACGAGGATATATATTAATTTGAAATTGATGTTATATTCTTCTATTAATAAGATATTATGAAGCACCTATAACATTTCGCATTTCTTCATAACGGATAAACCACATTAATTACCTTCTGTGTCTTTACTCTCCAGAAGCTTAATTACAACATTACCACCGCGTCGAAGAACACCATTCTCACTTGTATCATCTTCAAAACTGTCGAGGAACTCTGAAGTATTTTTGCAAGATGAGTTGCCGATAGCCAAAGAGAGTGCTCTTTTACCGAGTTCACACGACAGAGCGGCATCTTTTGTTGTGATTCCAGAAACAATGGGACACATATCTGAGAGTATAACAGAAAACCCCATTCCCTGTAAAATAGCACAAATTCTATAAGCTTTTTTTTTTTTTTTGGGTCAATGAAATGAAAAGATTCTCAATATATTAAAAGTATAATAACGACGTATTTCTACAAGATACATATAGGCAACTAAGAAAGGAACACTTGAAAACTCTAGCACAAATTTCTTTTTAATGAGACTTTTAAATAGTCATAATCTCATAGATTATTTTAATTCTCCCTAAAGAGTTAGGGGATCACTTTGATCCTTACCTCTTAAGAGAGAGAGAGAAAGCAAAAGAGAAATTAAGATATAATTTTTTTGGTGATATCATGCACGTAGTCAAATGAACTAAAAATAAAATAACATCATCAAAGATGCCTCCAAAGAATTTAAGAAAAAACCGCAAGAGAGTATACCTTTAATGAGCAACATAGAGTAAGGACAAAAAAAGAGGTGAGAATGCGTCTTACAGTTCACACGACAAAGGACACGTACTATTAATTTAAAGCCTTTTACCAAGGAGAATATCTACAATTTTAAAACCATTAGACAAACCATCCACATGTAAATAGAATATCTAAAAGAGAATTATATTTATGCAACATAAATTTAGTCCAGTGAATATCAAGAGAATGAAAACTTATTGCTTTATTGGCATAAAGCAAGGAAAACCCTTTCGCATTCCAAACGATATTATTCCTATCAGGATAAATGGGAATAGCTTTAATATTATCAAAGCAAAGAGCCTCAGCCAAAAACCAAATCTAAGATTACCTGTGTTTGCAGATAGAAGCAAAAATTCTTAACAAATGAAGCTAAATATTCCTAGAGAGCATTAACAATGATCAGCACAGCCAAAGACTAACAAGTTTTCAGCATACATAATATAACTAATATAAGTTTGTCCACAGTGATCAATTGAAATTCTCTCTTGACATAAGAATTTCAATAAGGCAACAAAAAGAGTCCGTGACAAAATAGAAGAGGAATGAGCATCAGAGGCACACTTATCTCAGACCATTAAAAATTGAAAATAACCATAGAGCTACCCCCGAACAAATGTAATGTACACCTCAATCTATTTAGCAAAATATGTGCTATGCCTTTGTAAAACAAATTTGGTTGCTAGGGGTCTTAGTTAACGCAACAAAAAGTTAATTAAAGATCAATGTTAAAACAAAAATGATTAAGGGTGGAATAGACACTGAAAACCCAAAGAACTTCAAAAACTTGAATGATATTATAAAAAATGTCCCTGTTTCTTATAAAAGCTGCTTTAGCCGAATGACTGAGGTGTGAAAGAACCAGTTTAATTCTATTTGCAAGTAGCTTAACAATCACTTTATTAAAGGTGTAGCAAAGTGAGATAAGTCTGAAGTTAAAAAGGAAATTAGCATGAAAATGTTTGGGTAATAGAACAATAACGTGGTCCTTTAATCATGTTAGTGAGCATATAGGTTTCAAAGAAGAATCTGTTACGGCCAATCCAGCAGGACCAGTCCTGCAGCCAGCCCAGCAACAAAGGGCCGGACTAGCTACAAGGGGATCAACAGGGATTTCGGGCCCCTTTGTGGGGTCCAGTAAAACAATTATTCCATATGCTAGAGGAGGAATAAGGAAGGAATTAATGAAGGGAATTCAAATTCAAAGTAGGGAGAGAATTAATTCAGGCAAAAGTGATCTTTTAGGGCTGTTTTGGAGGGAAGAGTAGGGGCTTATATAGGGATTATTATTTTGTATTAGGGTTACATTTTGATTGAGTTTTTCTGCGGCAGTTTTCTATAAGGGCTTCCTAGCGGCGTCTAGATTGATTGGGAGAGAGAATCTACCTCTCTAATTATAGATCACTTGCATCTTTTGTTTTTTGCTGAGTTATTAATCAAAATCAGCCAATTGTTCTTCCTAAATCTACTGTTTTTTTTTTTTTTTCTGTTGCTGCTTGCTGAATTTGACTCCAAGGCGTATTAGAATCTCACTGCAAGGATCAATTGATGGCCTAAAATGCCCCAGGTAAACATGACTTTAGAGGTATGGTCATCAAGTCCCGGGAATGTATCCTTCCCAGTGCTGACAAAGTTTCCTTCATGTCCAACTCAGAAAAGAGAGCAGTGGCAATATACTTGTTTGCTCTAGATAAAGTAGAACCAACAATACAATTCAAGTCGAAAAAATGATGAAGAATGCATAAAAATATGATTAAAAATAGTTGAAAAGGGTTGAATGGCTTCAGTCGTGATGTTCTGGGGGAAATAAAAAGCGCCAAAAGGATCAAACTTTTCTTAATGAGGTTATAGTTGAATTTGCCTTTAATTCTCGGATAAATAAGGGCCTACTCATCCTTACTTACCCATGGACTGCTCGGCAGCCTTAGCACATTGAGAAATTAATTTGCTTTCACATCTAATAGCATGAGTTTCTTGGATCATTTTAGCTTAGGGATCAAGGAGTTTATCTTCCAGTGAAAATAACATGTCTCTATAGAATGTAGAAGAATTAGAAAGCTGGTTAGCATCATTTCAAGGTATGAGTTTAAGGGTAACCTTAAAAGCTTTTTTCGCGTAACAAGATTGGGATTAACATAAGAAAAATCCCCCCAGGCATTCATGATAATATCCTTAAAATCATTAGAAAAAATAAAAAAATCTTGAAATAAATTTATGTTTAAAAGATGAAAAAGACCCTTTGTGGATAGTATGATCAGAATGATCAAAGGAAAAAGAAGAGACATAATGTAGTAAGATTTAGAGAAGTGAACCAAGAGCCTGTCATTGAAAGGCTTTATCAATCTTTTCTCTAATATGGGAAATTAAGTTGGTTATTAAACCAAGAGTACGAGAGGAACTGGAAAAGGGATCTAGAAGTACAACTTGGAAGATAAATCATTGAAATCCATCATGTCGTTTGGAAGAGCATTCCCTCCTAACTTATCCTCGGCAGAACTAACATAGTTGAATTCTCCCATAACAATCCAGGTCAAATCAACATAGCTAGAGATGCTCACAAGAGAATCGCAAAGAATCAACTTTCCATGAGAAGCATGGGCAACATAAACAAGAATGAGTAGAAATTTTTTGGAGTCTGAGAAGTCAATCAAGCCATGCATAAACTTTGGTTGTATAAGAATTAAGTGAAAATGAAGCATAAGTCCCATTTAATCCAAATGGAGAGATAAATCTGCATTATTGAAGTGGTAAGTATGGAGGTGAGCCATTAGTTTGGAATTGCCCAATAAAAGGCAAAGTAGGGATCTTCAACAACAACAATAACACCAAGCCCTTATCCCAACTATATGAATCTTTTTTTCTCTATGGTGTCTCATTAAGAGTCAAATCCTCATTTAAATCTAATTAAAAATATCATTTCTAACACTTCCTAACCAAGTCTTTGTAAGTCTAACTCAACCTTTCTTAACATAGGTCAAATCTAATGCATTTACACTTCTAACTGGGTCATCGGAAGACCGACATTCTATGTGACCAAAACATCTAAGGCAACTCTTTTTATCCTTATCTGCCACAGGAGCTACTCCAACCTTTTCACGAATATACTCGTTTTGCATTTTGTCCCTAAGTGAAAAGCCATTCATCCACCTGAGCAATACTTAACATAATTTTATGCTTTTTTTTAATGACAAACATTATGCGTCATAAAGCATTGCAGGTCTCATCACCATCTTATAAAATTTTCTCTTAAATTTGACGGGTACTTTTCTATCACACAACAAGCCTGGTGCATTCCTCCAAATCAACCATCCAACTTGAATTCAACTAATAATATGCCCTTCTATTTAAATATCATTTTGAACAATAGACCCAAGATAACAAAAACATGTACTCCATGTATTTGAGTCTACAAAACCTCTGCTAGATATTTGATTTTAGATCTACCCAAATGAAAACCTTTAGACTCTAAGGTTGATCTCCATAATTTAAGTTTACTTCAACTTCCTCTATAGCCTTTTCAACAAGAAAAATATCACCAACGAAAAGCATACATCAGGGCATACATCCTCTTATAAATGTCTAGTAAGAACATCCATGACTAAGGCAAAAAAATATGGGCTTAAAGTTGATCCTGGATGAAATCCAACTAAAATAAGAAAATACTTGGTCAAACAACCTTGTGTTTGAACGAAAATAATAGCTCCTATATACATATCCTTAATGACTTGAATATAAGCATTATTAACTCCTTACTTTTCTAGATCTCTCCATAGCACTTCTTTAGAACTTTATCATATGCTTTCTCCAAATCAATAAATATCATATGTGGATCCTCCGTACTCTCTCTATACTTCTCCATCAAACCTCTCAACGAATGTATAACTTTCATAGTAGACCTACCCGACATGAATCCAAGCTAATTTTGAGAAACATTAATATCAAGTTACCAAAATTCAACAAACCTATTAAATTATGAGCCCTGACAAGAACTCTTATTCCACGCTTGTGAGCCTCAAAAGAATTTAGAGCTCATGCATATAATTTCAATGAAGAATCCACACTATGTTATGACAAGGAATTGAGAAAACAGTGATAAACGTCACCAATCCACAATATGTTATGCAAAGAAAGGAATTGAGAAAACAATGATAAACATCATCAGTAAAGAAAAATGAGAAAATTTTGGACATCCACAACTGATAATTGGGTAAATAACTTCTTGAGCAAACTTTAAAAGGTTAGACTAATTGACAATAAAAATTTATATTTTGTTTTGTTTTTAATAAAATAAAAAATGTTTATAGAAAACAAATTTCAAAATTCAATACGATCTGAAATACTCATAATGTTATTGGGAATAAAAATTACAAACACAAAATTCAATTTGCCGACCCCACGTAGTGGGATAAAGGCTTGATGTTGTTGTTGTACAGGACAAAAATCAAACCTGGGGAGAAAAAGCCCTTGCTTGATCCTTCCGCAGATTCATAACATCAGCACAAATGGTTTTTACTCTTGAATCACAATGATGAGATGGAATATGCACCTTCTGCACTGCATTTAATATCACTGAACCACATAAAATAGAAAACGAAATCACTGGTAAACTTAATCATCTTACCACCAATTAATATTTCGTTAATTTCTATTGCCTCTTCTCACCAGCCTCATATACCACACAAATATAAATAGAGCTCACCTTCAGGTCAATCCCCACAACTGCCCCACCCTTCTCCAAAGGACCCAAGCTTCGACAAGCCACCTGAATACAGCCAATGCCAACGTTGTCACCATATGCATTTTCCAAAAAAAAAAACTTCTTAACCTTTTCCTACACACCAAGCCAAAGAAAATTTAAAAAGAAAAAAGATTCAATGAATACATCCTTAATTCATTAAAAAGAAAAAAGAAAAACTAACGATCTACCATCCCAATCAAATGCCGCAATGTAGAGAAACAGTGAAGCTGTGAGGTATGCTAGTTATTCACAGTTTGATAATACTATCAAAAGAATTTGTAATACTTTGAGGCATGCTAGTTAGTCACAGTTTGATAATGACACCAAAAGTATGCTTGTAACATAATACTTGGGGATTTTTCAGGGAGTTGCTCAAGAACATTGTTATCGACAATTGCATAAATTTTTTTCGAATATTCCTTAGGAATGTTGTGCCAATACTTTAATCATGAATTACATGGGATTGTGTTTTTAACAAATGAATTCATCGTGTTGCCACCAAATGAAGTTGCATGTCATCTTTGCATACAGAACAACCCTCAATTCCATCCATTTTTAAAGAAGTTATCAAAGTCATAGGAGGTACAAACTACAAATGTCCATGTCTTGGTTGGTAAATAAAAGCAAAAATAGACATTATAACAGAAAGCAATTCATTTTTCAAAATGTAATGGTCATGTTCTCATCAATCTTCAATTCGTATATTTAGCTTCTAGATTGCAAGGTATTGCAGCAGAATTGAAGGTGCTTAGATGTGAAGTTGAAGAAGGGCCAAGAGAAACACCAAGACCATAACTTGGTGGACTCTAGCTATTCAAACACCAATGAGCTTATTCCATCCTTTTAAGGATTTCAATATCACACGTGTGAATCATGGAGATAAATCTTGCAAATACATAGAAGCATAAGAATTGCTAAATCACAGAATGCCCAAAAATTCAAAATATTGTAGAGGACCTTAGATATTTGAAAAAAAAAATATTTCAAGAGTCAATTTACACGTGACAAGTTCTTCAAACTATTCAGACAAAAAAGCATATTTATTTGTACAGTACTACACATTTATTGGTTGAGAACATAGTTATTTACATTACAAGTTTTCAACATGACTCAAATCTAAGATGCGACATGAATGTGAGTTGGGTGAAATAGAAGACAATAATTAAGACCCAAGTTGAGGCGAGAATTCAAAGAGAGGTTCTATGACATGAAATTGCAACATGCATGTGGGATACGTGTGTAAGATTTTAACTTTATTACTTAATCAATAGTAATTTTATTCTTAATATGGCTTGCAATAATGTAGTACTACCATCTCATGCAATGAGACATGGTATCGCTTAACTTGATCAATTATCTCACATTTTTCGTAATAAATAAAGAAAATGGGTGCAACGATATTTTATTTTTTTATAATTAATTAATTAATTGATAAATCATATCCTTTTATCTTTGAATAAATGTAGACATAGGTTGACCGTCAATAGGATTCAATCTATGCTAATGGAATCAGACTTTTAAAATCTTGCCTCAAAAGTTGTATGCACCGGCAGAGGCTCAATGGGGGTCCGTGCCCCCAATGCTCTCTGTAAGAAATTTTTTTTAATATCTCATCATTATATATATAATCCTAACATGATACATACAAACCTCGTCTCTCGTTGTTCTACCTCATCTATGGCATAAATCCTCTCTCCTCCCCGTATGCCCTCTCTCTCCCTCTCTCACTATTCTCCCTCATCGAGCCTGTCATCTACTGCATCTGCGTGAGTTCTCTCTTTATCCTACTCTCTCTCTCTCCCCTCATGTATCTCTTTCTAATTCTCTACTTCATTGTATATTTCTTAGTAAAGAGAATAATAATTTAACAAATTACTGTTTAATAATTATATTCTATTGATATGCAAAAAATGAGGTATTAAAATTTTTTTGATATAGAGTATAATATGTACAATGTGTACATATTTTTAAAAGTTAAAAAGCAATTTTTTTCTTTTTTTTTTAAATAAAAAAAGTTTTATTCTGAATAACGTAGTATTATACAGGTATAAAAAAAAAATTTCAAACATTATACATTAGGATTCTTCCACATTTAGTACTCTGATAACAACTTGATAAACACAATATATAAGGAAAAAGACTTGACAAACATGTGAAGCAAGTGAAACAAGATGTAATCTGGATTTTTTTTTTTCATAGTTAAGAAACTAGCAGATAATAGTTGTTGAAAGAAGAGAAATGGAATGTTTGACAGGAATTTTAAGAACGGGAATCCAATAAACTACAATTTTGTACGTTACCGAGTGGTGGATCGCAATCTTTGATTCAAGTAAGTTAAAATATTAGTAATTTGATTTTAATTTATTTTTTAAATATATTATTATTTTATATAAATCTCCAAGCCTTTCTTTTTAATTAGTTATATATAGTTATAATTTTTTTTTATTTATTTTATAGTTATGGAGCGAGAGTTCAAAAAAAAGTTGAAGTGGTTGAACATGACCCAAATTCTGATGATACTAATGCACAATTCAAACATCTTTGTGTAGAAACAAATTTGGATGATTTACCTGTTGACCTTGGATTAAGAAAAAAAATCTCTCATTATCATCCAAATGATAAGGATACAATGAAAAGAACTTACTAAGAGGACCTCGTCAGCCTCACGACCATAAATTCCCGCTCACACGAATTGAAAATAAATTGTGTAGGTTTAATCCTACGTGGTTTAATAACTACAAGGCATTGTTAGAGTACAGTATAACTAAAGAAGTTTCTTATTACTTATTTTATTATCTTTATAAGCCAGATGTTGGAGAGCAAGCAGGTGGTGATAGCTTTGACACGAAGAGGATTTGAAATTGAAAAAAAAAAAGATTTAAAGTTCATATTGGATATGTAAATAGTGTTCATAATATTGCGTGGAGAAAATGTGAAGATCTAATGAATCAAGAGCAAAACATTAGATTTGCGATTACAAATCCTTCTAATCAAAATCAAATAAATTATTGAATGAGTTATCTCAGGTTTTATAAAGAAAGGCTCAAGATATCTTAAATGTCATGACTTTGGTAAAAGTTTTGAAGCAAAAGCTACAAAATATGAGGGAAGATGGATGGAATACTTTGTAAGCGAAAGTCAGTGTATTTTGTGAGAAGAATAATTAAATCGTTCCAAATATAACTGATAATTTTGTAATGTGAGGAAGGTTGATGCGTCATTCTCAAGCACTCACAAATGAACATCATTACAAAATTGAGTTATTTTATTCAGTCATAGATATACAATTTCAAGAGTTCAACAATACATTTGATGAGATAAAAACTTAGTTGTTTATGTGTGTGCCATGATTCAATCCATGCAATTCATATTCAGCATTTGATAAACAAAGATTGATATATATGGCTAAATTTTATCTATCGGATTTTTTAAATATAGATCTTGTTATATTAGATAGCTAACTTGAGACTTTTATCATTGATATGAGATCTAATGATACATTAAACAATTTAAGAGGAACTGGAGAACTTGCACAAAAAATGATAAATACTAAGAAAAATTATGCTTATCATTTGGTGTTCTTACTTATAAAGCTTGTTCTAACATTGTCAATTACTACAACAACGATCAAACGAGCATTCTCCTCTATGAAGATTATAAAGAATGGTTTGTGCAATCGTGAGATACTTGGATGAATTATTGATTGATTACTTATAATGAAAAGATATTATTAATAGCATTGAAAATGAGTGATTATACAACGATTTCAAAATATAAAGACTCGAACGGAGAAACTATAGATGTCAAATATAAGAAGAATATGAATGGCATATAACATTGAATGTAAGTTTTTTTATTACATAATTTATCTTTTGTAATAACAATTCTAACATAAAAGTTATTTTTAAAACTGTAAATGTCGGTCCCAAGCCTAGCTAAAAAAAGTTGAGGGTAGTTTTCAAACTAATAATTTGTGCCCCCACAAGGAAAAAAAAAATCATTGCTCCGACATTGATTGTATTTTTCTCAAAAGGGGTGGTTATCGGAGCCCTGCATTTGGCACCCATACCCACACCCACCCACGTACCAACCTATACCCAATGGATATGGGTGGGTATGAGTATACTCATAGACTTATGGGTGGGTATGGGTGGGTACTCAATATGGAGGATAAACTTACTGCATTCAAAAAGAGTGAAGATTGAAAAATGCATAAAGATTAGTTTAAAAGTGAAAAATGCATACAGACTATTCTAAAAGAATTAATAGCCTTGCATGTGAAGATATGATGATACATTCTCGATTAGTGTGAGATATGTACTTTTGTATCTTAAAAAAGAGTTATGTACTTTCGTATCTTAATACTTTAGTAATAATTTCACGCAACCAAGAGTGCAGGAAGAATGAAGAATTGAAGATGGCATTGCCTACTCAAGAGGCGATCGAGCGCGAGCTTAAGAGCAACAAAAACAATGTCAAATTTTCTATCACTGATAATGTCACAGGGACGTCGGATGTCTGGACCAGATTTGGCATCGTTTGCCACCACAGCGATACCACTTCCATCTTACTCGAGCTAGATGCATGCAAGGCCTGCAAGAAGACCATCGGAACCAAAACGATGGGTTTGCACAAATGCGTCGTGCAACGATCTGAGGTCGGAGCCGCCAAGCAGTTCTTTAAGAAGCACGTGCCCACGATGAAGGAGAAATACAAGATGATGGTGGTTGTGACCAGCTTCTAAACGAAGGACATGCGCCATTCGAAGCCTTTGTCCGGGTTTGGCTTCAAGGAAATGATCCAAAAAGTGCTAGATATTGGCATTGCTAGCTCCGACCACATTCTCGTCGAGGATCTGCTTGCCCATTCGGTCACGGTCCGTCGCCATGTCACAAGCCGTGCCCAGTCAGGTCACGAGAGGCTCACCGTTGTTCTCAAGGAGCACTTTGAATCAGGTGTTGGTGTTGTGTGTACAATCGACATGTGAACAGACACGATCAAGGTCTCATAATTATAATCCATTACATTGACAATATCTTCATCCTGAATGCGGCACGATGCACGTGAAGCCGTTGCGTGAGGCCAGCCACACGATGATCATGTTGTTGAACGAGTTCAAGGAAGGCCTGGGAATGTTTGAGTTGCTTGACAATTACTTCAATCAGATCACTGTTGGCTCCGATAGTGGCTCAAACATTATCGAGCAGAATGGCATACCGTCCGAGTTCTCCTGGTTGCCCTGTCTAAACCACAAGCTCGCAAGCGTGCTAACAACCTTCATCAACAAGACAACCACGATGATGCACGGCGTTCAAAGCAAACCATTCTATCAATACCATCACAGTCCATACATGGCCGACTTGTTCGAGATGATAGATTCGTGCAAGAAACTCGTCGAGTACTTCAAGGGCTCGAACCTGCAAAGCAAGCTGACCAAAACACTCAAACAGGAGAATGTCACCAGTTGGAACTTGCTGGTACGGTGCCTACATAGCATCCTTGACATGTTGGATGAGATCGTAATCGTTCTACAAGAGAAGAATGTGATTCACAAGCTGGGCGCCATCCAACAAGATCTTTTGAACGAGTTCATTGTATTCCCTGAGATGTTCCTACATGTGACGCTGGCGCTGGAGGTGTTCAAGCGCCCAACGTTGCACAAGGCCGTGTTTTGGCGCCATCGTCTACAGCTTACATATGAAGCTGGTTCGTGCCGACATCATGGACCCGAACGATCCACACAGAGTCAAGACGAAGAAAGATCTGATCCAATCATCTCCCTCAAGGAGATCATCCAGCCCATCTTCGAGGAGAAGTTCGTGCTCCAGCCCATCCATGTTGTTGCGACAATGCTTGACCCGATCATGAAGACATGTTTGTGTGGGTGGTGTATCAATGCTGAACAGATTGACATGGCCAAGGAGAAGTTGAAGGCATATATGATCAAGTACATCCATGGCTTTAACTCTGTCATCGATGAAGATGACGATGGCATAAGGCCACTGCCGGCTAAGAAGGCACGGATAGACACCACCGCCTCCTACTCAATTTATGATGACTTGCCTGGAGATGATGACGAGCATGAGATGGCCGCCACCATTGCCCCTAGAAGCTTGAAAGTCAGAGCCAGCCTAGAGTTCACGGCCTACATGGCGCATAGGGTCAACCCGCAAGAACAGAAGATGTGCAGCGACAAGGACGAGGAGTTTGACGTCCTGAGGTGGTGGGGCTCGTGGGCGTCAAGACATTCTCGATCATGGCACTCTCACACGCTCAATTCTGTGCATTATGGCCTCCAGCGCCATGTCTGAGAACAACTTTTCAGACGTCAGCAACACACTGACTAAGAAGCGCAGCAATCTAAAGCCCGCTCACGTGAACGATCTATTGTTCTACCGATCGAATGTTGACTTGTGTGGCTTGTTAACACTTTAGTCCAATGCAATGCAAGCTTCATATAACATATTGTGCTGCTCTCTAACAACTTGTCCCCTTCACTATTATATAAAATCATGTATTTTGTATTACAAGCATTTGGGGAATTAGAAAATACTTTTATTCTGTTATTGTCTTCTACCTTTCAATTCTCTGCAGGATTTCTTTTACGTCTAAGGTCGAGCAATGCATGGGTATGGATGGGTACGTCATCTTGAAAAATATTATGAGTGGGGGTGGGTGGGTGAAGCCAACCCGCATAGAGCGTGGATACCCAATGGGTACTCGACCAGGACCATGTGTAGGGCTCTGATGGTTATCTTCATTCGCATACTTATATCAAACTATTATCTTCTTTGATGGATCAAAGTTCCCTTAGCTTGCATGCATGTTGTAATAAGAATTGTATAATACTGCGTTGCATAAAATAAATTTATTAAAATGGTGAATAGCCCAAATCCCTAGTTTCCATATTTGATTACTAGAAGAGTTGGGTATCTGCATTGCGTTATCCTAGAAATTCCATCCTTATATGGATTTCAGAAGTTGCAGAACTTTCAAAACTTGGAAGCTTTTTATCACATGATGCACCTTGCATTCCCTAGAAACTTATTTAGTGAAATTTTTATATGCCATCTTCTTATAGAAAGCTTTGATTTATGTATTCATCATGTTAAAATGCATTTTATGTTAGAACATAATTTTATTATGTATCCTTGATGAGCGGCAGTAATGTTGTTTGCAGTGTAAGGAGAAGATTTCTTAGTTGATGTTTTAGTTGTCAATCTCACAATTATATAAATTGTCTAATAAGTAGGCAAATAATTTTCCAACATTTAACTGGTCTCAGAATCCAGATTTACGGGATTTTATAAATCCTACTTACAGCCAAACATCCCCTAAAGTTACCTGAAGCCAAGCTCCAGGAGCACATCCAAGATCAAGAACAGAAGCCCCGGCGCCTATTAACTTGAACTGCTTCTGCATCTGAAGAAGCTGTACAGCAATAACATTGATGCTGACAATCTAAGGAGCTCATCAAATCATTAAAAAATAACAGCAATTAAAACAAGAAAAACCTTAAATGCCGATCTCGCAACGTAGCCTAGGCGCTGCGCCTCCCTCCAGAAAAAGTCCGGCGCCCAAGGCCCGCTCATATCCCTCTCCGCCCCAAAGTTCCCGAGTTTGTTAAACCCTAAATGGGGTTTCAGAAGATCCCATCACCGCCCATATTGTTACCACCAGTAAACTGGAAGGAACCAGCGACAGCAAATAGCTGTATCGAGTCAAGCCGTGTGAAATTGGAATCGGGGATTTTAATATTGAGAAATGTGTAGTAATAACTGATTGTTTTTAATTCGCATTTTAAGCTCATTATGCAATAATTTCTTTATTTTATTAAATTTTTTAAGTATTAAAAAAAATAATCTATGCTAATTCATTCAATTTTTTATTGTCAAATATTATATATATATAAATGTTGCAGGCTAGAATATACGCGGCGATAGAGATATAAAATTTTCGTCTCAGCGTTACACGGATATTCAACACACAAACAGAAGATGAAAGAACACTATGATTTTTACGTGGAAAACCTAGAAAATGGAAAAACCACGGAGCCACACCCAGTTGAAATAATTCCACTAGTGTTTGCTTGAGGTACAAGAAACTGACTCGTCCTTAAAATTTAGGACGATCAAATTACAATGCTTCACTTCCGGATTGAAATCCAATTACAAACAAGTTGTTTATTCAAGCTAAATTTAGAGTCACTTAGAATTCCGACGTTACTTGGAAATTGAGCCGACTTACGGCATTACTTGAACGTCAGGCAGAATTCCGGCGTCACTTCCGTAGAATTTCGACGTCATTGGGGCGTCGGGCAAAAATCCGTCTCTTATTCTTGCTTGGATTCCCTCTCAAGAGAAATGATAGGTTATTTATAGTTTTTTGAGGATGGCATGTCCTATAAATAGGAGGAGGATCAAGGGAAAAGGTGGAGTGATTCAGATGGATGGTCGATATTGAATCCCTTGATCATGTACCATTTGTTATACATTTGAAGATCTTAATGATGTTGGAATTCAACGATCTTGGGCTTGTTGGATTTGTCCCATTCAGCCACTCAATTCGAATATAAGCATGTCATATTTAGAAACCGTTTCGTGACTCAAATTGTGGTTCAAAATTCTCAATAGCGCTTCGGGTGTTTGATTTGGACACACTTGGGCTCGGATTGAGTCGAATTTGGTGTTGTTAGGTTCATATTTTCGAGACACTTGATTTGACTATAAGTTCGCTAAAATCAGAGTTCATGTGATTATGGATTTAATTTTTAAAGTTTCTGGCATGATTTTGCATCGAGATTCGTGCCCGATCAAGATGATTTTTTTTATAATATATCAGTTGCTCACTTATTTTTGGACGTCGAAGCTCCAGGATTTCGAAAATATGTGTTACAAACTTTGGTGAATTTTTCAATTGATTTGAAATCTGATCTTGAATGTATGAGCCTCAAATGGTTTTAAAAAGGGCCAAAATTGAGTTCGGGACATCGAAAAACAGTCCCGAGGACCCCCAAAACGTACGATTTGGCCTTTACGGAAAGAAAATTGGACCAGGAATCGCGTAGGCAGTCGAACCGACCGACCGGCCGCCATCGCCGACGTTGGTGGACGCAGAACCGCGCGAGTGGCCCGCTGGCCCGCACCACGATCCGCCTGGCTTCGTGCACTGCCAGCCCGCTCTGCAGCTCGCCTGGGCCCGCCCATGGTCCGCTTTGCCCGACGCTGGCCCGAACCCGAACCACCTGGCCCGCATAGTTCCGCCAAATTTAGCCTTAAAAGGTCTCTCTTGCCTTAATTAATTCCCTTCCTATTTTGAATTCAAATTCCATTCATTAATCTTAATTTTCATAATCCTCCTAACCTATAGAATAATTAGTTTGATGGGCCCACAAGGGGGGCTGAAATATCTTATGATCCACATGTTTGTTATAGTTTGTAAGCGCTGAAAATAAATGCATAGTTAAAATAGCGCTGAAAATTAATGCCTAATAATATCATTCTCATAAATCTCCATAACAGGATTTCAATCATTGCCAATGGTGTCATATCCAACACAAAATTTAAATTTTAAAATTAGAAAATCCAGCTCCATATTCGATCCAAGCTCGAGCTTCTTAAACAAGCTCGAGCTCAAAAACTTATAAATGAGTCGAGCTCAGTATGAGCTAAAAAAGCTCAGCTCGATAATGCCACTCTTCGACTCAACTTATTTACACCCCTAAGTGATTGTCAACTCATGATGTGACTACTTCGAATCAAGCACTTTGATGGTTGCAAGCTTTGGACTTGGTGGCTTCACAGACAAGCATGATTATGCTGGGATAATTGTATTTAAATTTGAATGGAAGTAGCCTTTTAGGTCAGGAGAGCATCCACTAAGATTTGAATTTGGGCTATAATTTTACTGGTGGAACATTTGGGCTTGGTCATATTTGATCATGGAGGTGTAAAATTATATTTAAATTTGAATGGAAGTAGCCTTTTAGGTCAGGTGTGCTATTTAAAATGAGAGAAAGTCAAATTTTATTTGACTTGGCTTTTAGTGGTTGCTTTTTCTGTAATAAATTAGAGAAGAGTTCTACATATTTTTCTCACTTTCATTTCTTAAATCAATTTTAGTTTGCGATTTTGGTTTCGTTTGGGACAGTTTTTTTACTGTTTCTTGAAAAGATTTTTCACACAAAATTTAATTTTTTTGTACTAGAAAGCCACTTCGCTTCAATAAACAGTAAAAAAACCGTCCCAAACGAAACCTTTATTACATATTCATTGTGCATGGAAGTTTTATCACCAGGGAGATCCTTACTCTCCTGGAATGAGTCATAAATTATGGCTTTAGCATTTAGTTATATAAATACATGTTTAGTGTACTGGAGAGAATTCCATGAGAATGTGAAATTATATATCCTTAGAGCATCTCCAATGGAATGGCAAATAACAGTTTGCCGTTCTTCCGTCGCTCCAACCAAGCGGCAATTCTTACGCCATTTCATCGCGGATGAACAGTGCAACGCGAATGCTGCGAATATTGGTGTTGCACTGCATCTCCGCCATTTTTTTGTCTCTACCGAACTTGCCGAAAAAACGCGCGAACGACAGTTAGGTAAACTGACGTTCCATTGGAGATGAATCATGGCATTTTTTTAGTTTCACGACATTTAGAGTGAAAAATGAGATTTTGGTTGGAGATGCCCTTAGTATTACTCTCACATTTTGCTTTCAGTTATCCTCTGCTTCTTCACTATATTTTTTTTTCTGTAAATTGATTCAACAGCTCTTCGGTAAACAGTGATTTTCTTAAATACATATCACATAAATATTAGTCTTCAAACTTAAGAGAAAGACTGCTTAATAATGTCAGTAGGTGACCATATAACGGCTTGATTAAAAAAAAAAAGAGAGTTCAGGCTTATCCCTGAAGAGAAAAATTATAGCTAATCATGAAGCAACTACAAGAAAAAAATAGTTTTTTTGACGAAATCAAAATAGTCGGCAACTTAATTTGACGGAATTAACACCATTTTTGATAGGAACTTTTATTACGTCCTCTAATCGGACGTAGCTCTACGTTCTGTCAGAGGATTGTTACTCGGTTTTTGCTCGGTATTTGGACGGTATTGCTAGGTATTCTTTGGTAATAACGAGAAATATCACTCTGTGAAGATCAATATAGAGAAATACCGAGCAATACCGAGTAATCCCAAAAAAATACCGACTCGGTATTTTGTCTTCACATAATGGTATTTCTCGTTATTGTTGGTATTGCTCGGTATTTGCTCGGTATTTTCTCGTTTTGTGCCTGCGATCTTAGTGCCGGCCGAACGTAGCTCTACGTACGTTCACCGGACCAAATAAAAGTTCTTTTGATAGAGGTTTTGCCGGCAAATTTGTCAACCGAAATTTTTATTTATATCCAATAGACATATCCGCTGATAAACGCGAAATATCTATATATCATAGCGGCATTTTTCTCTTCTTCCACTCACGCCAAAATTGAATGTTTTTTCTTCCGCCCCTAATTTATTGCAGGGGTGGAACCAAGAAGAACTCACGATGCTCAACTTAATTTTTTTTTAAGAATAAATATTTTAACTATTTTGTTCAGTTTTAATAAACACAATTGTCCAAAGTTTAAGATTTTTTTCCTATTTCATACATAAAATTATGTATTTTGCAATTCTATTTTGTCCACCCTAAAAAAAAGCCTCAAATCCACTGATTTGAAGCTTTTTTCGTCAAATTTCTTGGACGCTTTCAAAGATCTACAAATTTTTGATGGAATAGTTGTCGAAAATGTTCAATATTTATGTAGCGAGTCAAATATAATCAGGGAAGATGAAAGCATTATCTTAAGAGGTCTGCCATTTACCTTCGAAGTAGTGTAGTTTTAATGAGACTAGGAAAAATGACATAGTGTGCTTACAATATACAATATGTCAAATTACTCTAACTTATGTCGACTTAGGGATGTCAATATTTGACATGAACCAAAAACTTGACCCGAAATTTCGAGTTAAGGTCAACCCGTTTCGAAAACAGGCCAGGTTTGGGTTTCTAGATCTGACACGATTGAAAAAATGGATCGGGCTCGAGTTGACACAGAAACCTGAAGAATTGACTCGGAAACTCATTTGAAACGAGCTGTTTGGTTAACCTAGCGTCTACCCGCACATCACGTCAGACTCTGCCCACACGTTGAGTCTGAGCTGCATGCGGGTTTCGTAAAATGCCCACTGGCCTCGCCGTCCGACGTTGCGTTGACTGTCCGGCCTTCCCACCGTCGATGCGAGTCCCGCCTTCCACCGTCCACCACCTGCCGTCGCCATCCAGCCGTGTCGAGTCGCGTCAACCCGGTAACCCGACGGGTTAGGTTATGGTATGAACTTCCGATCCATTTATATAATCGTGTCGGATTATGGTCAAACTGTTTGAACCCATGTCAGTTTCGAATTCGACCCAAACCTGACCTGAAATCCGATTTTGACACCCATATATCGACTGTATAATTCTTTACCAAAAATAATACAACACGATATTATTGAATGAAATCTAAAATTTTGAACAAGTAATCCATATTTATTTAACAATACATATTCTATCAATAATGTGGAGCAAACAATATGGCTGAAAATCTTTCTTAAAACAAAAACCACTTATTAAACTTGCTAGCGCGTACGGTTGAAAAATTACAAAAATGGCCA